TATTCCCGGAAATCTATTGAAATCGAAAATAAATAATATTAATTAAAACTCCAATTTTTTAATAGTGGACACTCTCTTTGTTTTTTTTTTTTAATTAGTAAAACATAGCTTTTTACAGATGTTGCAGTTACGTAGTTTTACATTTTTCGTTATATAATGCATATGGATTAGTATAATCTACAATTATGATGATTGATGCAACGTTTTTATGAAGTGAAATCATGCCCAACTCACCCATAAATGGAAAAACTTACTGATAAGTATTCAATATGCTTTATAAGTCAAGAAGTATTTGCATAAAACTTTGAAGGGTCTCGCAGTTGGATGAGAGTTTATTAGCTTAATCTGTAGCCCCTATAAAAAGTGATTGGTTTCTATAGTGATTATTTTTCTAATTTTAAATAAAATTCAAAACTTATGAGCACCATTACCATTACCATTACTGGCAAAACAAAAATGTGGTTATTAATCATAATGACAAGCAGACAAAATAATAATTATATTCCTAGAACAGAATTCCCAAATGATCTTAGATATTTTTTACCGCAATATTTTTGAAAATGAAAAAGTGGATTTTTTCGTTTTATGTTTTAATGTTTCTGAAAATGAAGAAAAAGTGGATTCGACATTGAGATTTTAGCATACATAACATACATTTCAAAAGACAGATTTAAGAGGGTGAACATTTGAGTAATTTTCTTCTACTTTATTGAAGCTACAACTGAAGCACAACGTTAATTCTTTAACGCTTTTGGAGACCTTCCTCTTCTTCTTTGTTCCATTAACTCGATGTGAAGCGTAGGGCTTCAGAGACCTTAGGTTTCTTTTAACTTCCTTCCAGTTATTAAGATTAAGTCTTTTTAAATCAGTTTATTCCCAATCTCTAAGGATTACTAGAAGATACTCCTCTATGTTTTTACTAATGATTTCTTAATTAGATGTTTGTTGTGCAACAAGTCGAGCCCATCTTATTCTTTGAGACTTAATTTGTTCTTTTGAGTTCATATCTAACAACAATAATCAAAATATTAGCATCTGTTCTTATTCGTTATTGCCGTGCTTTCATTCTCACGGATCTAGCAGCTTAGTTAACATTTTTAATTCTAAGCTTTTTAATTAAGCTTAGTTACTGATCCTATCTTCATAATCATTGACATATTCTGGGCGAGTAGATGTTTAGAATTTTTCCCTATTTTGAATTATGTGCAGTGCGATTGCAATTAATACATCTAACAGGAAGTTGTTATCATATATACTCTATAAATAAGACACAGTCACGTTAAGTATTAAATAATTATCTGAAAAATATTTTAACACATATTATTAAATAAGCTATTAAGTCATACAATTTACTATAAATATTAATAGCTTATAACTAACCCACGCAATTAAAACAAAAGGGAAAAATTTACATATCACCTATTTAAAACACGTCACCTATTTAAGAAACGCCTACATTGCACTAATTTCCTATCAACTTTTCCATCAATTTTTATAAATTAACATTTAATTAGTTGTACCATAAGCAGAAAGTGTGCCAGGTTGAATATTAAAGCTCAAAGCAAAAAACGTACATTATAATTGATGAATTGAGTCATTCGAAAATTTCAAATTCGAAAAAAATGTCTCCAACTTTTCAATGACTGAACCGGGTTATGAGAAGGCTATGAAATATTGACATGTCACGTCTTAAAGACTTCGTAACATAATTTTCATAGGTGACACAAAAGGTTCTCCAAAGCATTAACCATTAAAGCTCTGCAAAATTTGAACGCAATTGCGCTAAGACAACAACAGTTGATGCAGTTATCTCTGTTGTTAGCAACATTGGATTATGTTGTACGGCGCACGCGACAACATTAGCAACGGAAATAATTGTGTTGCTCGAATTAAAATACCACGAACGGCGATGCAATTAAATGATAAACTTTTTTATTGTTTCAAACCAGAGCAACTGCTGCAACGACTCCAACAGCAGCGCCAAATGTTGCAGTGTTGCACTGTTGCAGACATAATGTCACTAATCTCAGCGGCAGAACCAGCTGCGCCCGTTATACACAAGCAACATTGTCGGCGGCCTGTTTGTGTCTTATGACTGCAACTAAAATAAATTAATTAAATTATTTATTCAATGGACACGATTATGTATATGGCATATTTTTTTAGCTTTATTTGACACGCTTTTTGTACTGTGGGAGGAGCGGAAAGTTAATCTGAGTTTAATAACTTAATTTGTATATTTCGGTATAAATAGTGTTTATAAGATTAAAAAAAAATATTTTTTTTGTGTCAATTTATCACTGTTTTTATTATTTATTCATATAATGAAATAAGGATGTAAATTAAATTCTTTAAAAACATTTTACAGCTGTCTTATCGGAAATAATTGAATCCGAAGTAAACAAACATTTTTTTCATAATTTCAAGAAGTTTTCTTTAATATACCTAAGCCCTTACTTACATATTGCACCCGTTAATAAGGAACATTCTCTTGCACACAAACTTTACTTAAAAGCTCTCTCTCAAAAGCTGCCTAAAGATTGGACTATTTCAGGTTTCAAAAATAGATAACTTTTCGGCTTACAACACCTTACTAATTCTATTACGACTAAATCATCTATATGATTGAATAATATATGTTCTTACTTATATAAAAGTTGAATTGAAAAGCTTTCTTTTAAGAACTATTTTAAGATTATGAAGTTTGTATGGTGGAATTATGTTTAGAAGTAAGCGCTGCATAAAAATACTAGCATCTGCCAGGCGAAAATTCACATAATAACTAAATGTGTAGTTTTCAATATTGAACGGAAATACCAGGGAAAAAATATCCCAAAACTGACAGACAGTGGCTATAAATGCACTAAACTCAGGCGACTTCAAGGCTGGTGCAAGAATGCCTTGAAAAGCTAAACCTGTTCGGCAAATTAAAAAAGGTGCCGATTCTCTGAGTACCGGAACATACTGGCATACGCGGAAATGAATACGCAGACAAACTAGCCAGGAAAGGAGTAGCCACACTAATTCTGGGAGCGGAACCTTTCTGTAGACTTTTTATTATTAAAAATAAAGACGAACCTAAACAAAAAGGATTACTCGGATGATCTACGAGGATTAAAATAAACCAAATCACTTATTGGTACCTTTAACAATAGGAATTATCAGGTTTGTATGGACTTATCAAAAGAAAAACTATGAGTCATCACAGGAATCTTAATATGACACTATAAACTGAAATGCACATACGGAATAGACTTCTGGAAATGTATGCCCTCAGGGAAGAGGCAATTAAACTCTGTAAAGTTGGTTCTATACTACTTTTTATCGAAGTTATAGAGCTTGGAGGCTTTTTTAAGCCCTGAAGGGAGCAACATAGACTCGACGGTTGCAGTGTCATATCCCTTGTAAATGATAATAATATCTTTGGAAGTACTTTGACTTTACAGTGTTATAAATATAAAGTGCACTGTACTTACACATATATTAAAGACAAATATATATTTTATCAGTTAATTTAATTGTCTCCAAAAGGTTACTTCTTTGAAAATGGATTTCACAGTACACATTTAGTACTATTATGTAAATTTTAAAACCTTCTTTTTTAAGATTTAATTTATTTTAATGAGAATTTACCTTTTTTGTGATTTAATAAACTTCTTTCACGTTTATCTAAATTACTACATCTCGGTCAATAATTGATACTGGAATGTAAAAACTATATTATACACTATATACACTATATTTAGTGTATATTAAGATTTTCTTATGAACGGCAGAAAGATATATGCTTTTAAGCATATATCGGTTTTATACGGTTTTATATAATAATTATTTGGATATTCAATATGTAATACAGACGTATTCGAATTAGATTTGTTGTCATTGGACACTAATGATTATATCAATAATGATTTGATGACTAAAATCTTTTTTGTCAATTTTAGTGCTAAAAAGCGAAAGCGAATTTTCAAATAAGTCTTTAAACTGTATTAGTATTAAATTTAAAACGATTTTGCAATAAAACCGTGAGACTTTTAATATCGGATTGTAGAATATGTGGACTTAAAGTTATGTTACTTAGTAAAAGGTTCTAATTTTTAGGTAGGTCAACCTATGTGCTAGTAAACCACATATTGTCAACGTTGAAATTATAAATTTCGTCTTTCAAAAAATTAGTAATCCTGTTTCTGTTTCTATTAACTTTAATTGCAATGCCATTTTCATTTAAAAGAATTTGATCCACTTACACTTCCGAACTGTAATTTTTGTGGGTGAAAATATGTTTCGTAAGGATGCTTTTCATTCTATTTGCGAAAGTTTTGATAAAGCAATTGGACCTGTAATAAATTCCATAGTTCTTCTGTTTTAAGTTGCTCTAAACACCAACCTGCAAATATTTTAATCTATAAATAGTTTGAAAGATTCTGTCATTTTCTAGCTACACACGAAATATAGTAGGTTAGGTTCGGTTATACCGGCGATCCACTTAAGCTTATCTACCTTAAACGTAGTAAGAAGTATAGTATAATAAAAATAAACAAAAATTTATGGTTTATAAAATACGAAACATTTATTTTTTATATATATAATAAATATATATGTATATATCTGCACATTTATTTTCATTTTAAGGCACTTACTAACACATAAATAGTTAATAACGTTTTAATATATTCGAAAGGATATAAATGAATAAAATTCTTAAAAAGTAAAACTTTACAAAATTCTGCATCAACAAAAGTTATTAATTACGCTATTAATAAATCAAATAAAATAATAAATCACGTCTTTATAAATGACATGAAGAATTGCAATACTCGTTACATAGATTATATATATGTGAAGTTCTTAAGTATTAATTTTTTTTCGATTGACTAATTTTAATTTGTGACTTAATTAATTTTTTACTTAACTTACTATCTTAAAACTAAAATTTGTAATATCATGAAGTTAAGCCTGTAAGATTGTTTAAAAATACAGTTAATTTTTGGTACATTTTTTTGGTAAATTATAATGACAAGAGACATTTAACAGACTTTAAAAATACTTTTTCTTTGCAATTATTTTTAAATTGCAGTTATTTGCTAAAACACCTTAAAGTTTCTATTAAAATAATTATTATTATTAAGCTTATAAAAAATTATTTACAATTCCTCAATGGTAGAAGCACTCTATACTTTAATTTTAACTTCTTTTTTGTATTCACCATAGTGCAAATACGGTGATCACATAATTTTTAATTTTCCACCACACTCAAATCCATCACAATTTAAATTGCGTCTTTGAAAATTACACAACTATACACTTTTAGTTTTTCACCTTTTCCCGCAGTGCAAATATGCCAATTTATTTATCCACTTTTTTTTTGCTTCGTCTATTTATAATGATAACGAGTTGATTCCACATCTGATCCCTCATCACCCGAAGAAGGTGGTGTCTCTAAGTTGGCTATAGCAACGTCTAAGTAATCCTCGTTCGCTAGTAATAACTTGTCCAAATTTTCAACAATTTCGGAGAAAGTAGGGCGTGCAGAAGCATCGAAATGCCAGCATTGCCTCATCAGCATATAAATATTTAACGAGCATTTAGGAGGTTTTTCCATACGTTGACCAGACATCAGATAGTTATAGATTTCTTCTGCTGACATAATCGTTGGGTATGGTTGCGCGCCAAAAGTCATTATTTCCCACAACAGTATGCCATAAGACCAGACATCACTCTGGGAATCATAAAATTTATCGTGCAACGACTCTGGCGCCATCCACTTAATTGGGAGACGGCCGTTAGTATTTTTTCGGTAGTAATCTGTAACCTGTATGTCGCGTGCCAAACCGAAATCTGCAATTTTCATAACATAATCATCGCTGACGAGCACATTACGCGCTGCTAAGTCACGGTGTATGCAACGCCGAGAAGCCAGATACTCCATTCCACGTGCTATTTGGAAAGCAAATGATATTAAATGTTTTTCAGTAAGGTAATGCTTTGGTGAATTCTGTTGATCTGCAAATTCTTTCATAGAAGCAGGACGATTTTTGTAAAGAAAATCCTTGAGATTACCATGCGGTGCAAATTCAACGATAACATACAGTGGTCCGTTTTGGCTGCAGCAACCCAGCAAATTAATAATGTTGATATGCTTTCCGATTATTTTCATGACTTCCATTTCACGTACCAAGCTTGCAATATCGTCGTCTGTGTGTCCTTCTTTCACCATTTTAACGGCGACAATTGAATTATTTACTTCGGCCATTACTACACGTCCAAAAGCGCCTTCACCGAGTGTATCGCCCAATACAAGTTGTGATCTTGGTAGCTCCCAGTTAGAGTCCAACGGAAATTCATATTCATTGAATGGTGCTGGTTCAGCGTTGGAGCTTTGTAATACCGTGGTGCGTTGCTTCTCAATTTTAACAACAGGCATTATCATTGTGTCCATCGAACTGCTAGAGTCCCCACTAGAAGGTTTATAAATGATAACTTTTTTTGTCCATTGATGTACGGTTTCTATGCGTTGTTTGAGGAGTTTCTCATGTTTCGATTTGCGATTTACATAAAATACAAATATCGCTAGAAGTGCTGCTAGCAATATTGTAAAACCAATAATTATCCAAACGGCACTTCCACGTAAAATTTTGGAGACCATTGTAACATTAGGTTCCAATTGCGAACCATTTACCACGCGCAGATATGCGCTACTTTGGGTCTGACCCAGGCTATTTATGCCAAGACAAGTATACCAACCTTCATCTTCCATTGTCACATTTTTAAATTCCAATATATCGACATCTTCTTTAATAAATGTACGATTCACAGAGCAACCAGCAGAACTATTGCATGGTGTAAATGTCCATGCCTTCTTGCTGTGTAAGTCGGATAAATAGTTGCATTCCATTTGTCCACTGCCATTCAAGAGAATTGTCAAGTTTGCTGGAGCAGTCAATACTATGGGCTTATGATTGACACGATCATTTATAATTAGTTTCGTGATATGCTCTATACAACCTAAGGAATTACACACTTTGCAGCTATATTCAGCAGAGTCGTCAGGCACCAGATCCTCTATAATGATTGACCACTTATTTCGCTTGATACGACCTTGAAATGAGCGTAGGCTTATAGTTTTATTACGTGTCCACGTTATGTTCGGTTCCGGAACTCCTACTGCTGCACAGTTCAGTTGTATGAAACTACCAGACGGCTTCACCAATATATTGCTTAATACTTTTGGATTCTTGAAACGCGGCGGGTATTCTGTCGGTTTCTCCTGTTCTACATACTCCGTGCTGTTTGCTGCTTGTGTATTGCGTTTTCGTAGATCCATGTTAAACTCATCGTCGCCCAGTTCTTGTGATGTGGGCTTACGAGCCAATGCATTCGTGGGTGCGTGCAGCAAGCAAAATAAGAGCGCGCAGATCAGCAACATTTTCAGTGTGACGTGTGTTACGGTCACAGAGGAGCTTGCACCAACGCTTTCACTTTCCAGTAGTTTATTTTTGTAATTTATGTTGTGCGGTTGTGGTTTCTGACTGTAGCTGTTCCTGTTATCTGCAATGCAACCGTTGCTTAAATGCTTGCATCTCTTCCAGTGATGTGCACTATCACTATTACTGCTGTTATTGCTTGCAGCAGACTGCTCGAGTGTTCCAGCCATTTTTAGCGTGCCACGCGGCAAGTATATATCGGTCGCAGTATATATTTTTAAACTATGAGAAGTATCTTTTGTATGTATCTATGCTGTGTGGTAATTTATAAGAGTTTATGTTTGTTCGTAAGGGGTACAGTGTACACGTTGACACATGTGTTCAGTGTATGGTTTCGTCGTACGATTTGGCTTAGATTTTTGTTGTGTGATTTGATTCACCGGAAATCCACTTTAGGTCTTTTAATTTGAAACTTCTATTCCTTTTTAATTTATTGTATATAAAAGTTGTTGTGGATTTGTATTTGAAATATATAAGAGCAGCAGCAACATGTGTTTTTTTATGTACTTATCTGTTCTTGCCTAAGTTTCCTTGATATTATATTGTGAGATCTTTGATGTTCGATCGTTTATTGCAAAGTTGATCACCTTACAAACGGAAATGAATGAATTTATATGTTTTAATTAGGATTTTCTGGACCATTCATTTGTGTATGTCATTAATTTTTTCTACATTTTTGATTGATTTATGTGCTCTGCAAGAGTTTACGCAAGTAAAATTTATTTGGTGACAATAAATACTGAAAAATGTATCTTCGTTTGAGTTGAGTATTCCATTAGTGTAGCTCAGTGTATTAGAGAGTGAAATTTTGGTACAGTTCCCACATATTCTGACATTTCGTAGTACTGATCTGAAATAGAAGAGAGAATATTTTTGCTTTAATAATTTTTAATATTTTCTTATGTTTGTATAATGTGTACAAATTCATTAAAATGTTTATATAACAATGTGCAATAAATATTTACATGAATATATATAATTTAATTACTAAAATACCATAGCAAATTTAATATTAAAAGTGCGATTTACTCGTAACACGGATTCTCTATACTTTCGATGAGTTTGTAATTCAAGAGATTTTTGAAAATTTTTATTAGGAAGTATTAAACATGTACATACATTCTGAAAGTTGTATATTATATGTATTATATATCATATATTATATACGTATTATGTATATATATCATATATAATATATATTATATATATATCATATATTATATATTATATTTATATATACATATATACATTATATACCATGCATATATGGTATTTGATTTTAAGAACCTAATATTTTAGCAAATTTTTAATATAAATTTTTAATATAGTTAATTAATGTCTTCAAACGTAAAATATGCACTTTTAATTCAAATTTTGACGTACGTTCTTAATTTTTACCAGTTCCAATGAAAATCTTAAAATCGAAGTTTTTAGACAAGAAATAAAAATAGGGTGTGATTAATAACAAAGCAGGAACCTTATTAAATGTACTTGGATTTATAAAATACTGCTTACGTTTATTAAAATTGATGGGTTGAAATCTGCTGAAAGACAGTAAGACTAGTTAGATATAAACATACACAGTAAAATACACTCTTAATACTGAATACAGAGCAATGAGAATAAAAATTGCTTTAATTACTTACTTTTTTGTTCTTGAGTGAACCATGAGGCAGACTTATTAATTTTAAGTGAAATTAACATTGTTTTAAAAACTTGTTTTTGTTTTTTGTAACATAATGAGGAATTTTGATATAAAATTATATTAGGAAAACAAAATAAATTTAAAAAAAAATCTAAATCTGATGGATGTATATGTCCTGTAAGGTCGTACAGAGATGAGAAGAGTTCTATAGAAAGAAAAAAATTGTTGAAAAAATTGATATATGTAACAATCTCTCAATAGTCAATATACTGAACAGTCACATAAGTTTTCGAAAGAGTTAAATAGTTAAAGCACTCCGATTTCCTTTGTTCTATAATCTAAAAAGTAGATTTATTAGGGAGTAGTTATAGAAAATGTAATATCGATCAGTCTGTCGACACGGAAAAATGACACTTTTTTAGATTACTTCGGAGGTTATGTTAATGTCAAAAGTTTTACTGTGGACATACCCACAGATTCAGACTTGTCGAAGTTTTCAAATTATATATCAACATGGGTAGACCTGTTCGTCTGAGTTACTGCATGAAGTCGCATCTGACAAAATTGAACACAATTTTGTTTCGTCAATCGTTGCAACATTTAATCTGTGGCTTTGATTCAAACCGAACTTCTTTTTAATATAAAAACGACAGATCTAAGTAACAAAAGTGTTCTATCATCAGTCATAACTTTTATACTAAACACTCTTTTATTATAATACTATCCATTCCCCATTGAAACTTATTATGACATTATTTGCGAAAGCGTAAACAATGTAGGTATGTTTTATTGGGTTTAAACATATCGGGAAACATTTTTTTTTTGCTTCAAAAATAATAAAAAGGGTCTTAAAATGCTTATTGTGAAATGTTTCATACCGATAATTACTAAGACTAATCACAGTTTTTTAAAAGGACAGTATTAAATTCATTATAATAAAATTTTGAATTGTTCATTATTTCGTAATATTGAAAAGTTACGACGTAGATTATCATATCAACAGAAATTTCTTTGGTAGCTTCTTAACTAATTAGAACAATTTTGATAGAAATAAGATGATGAGATTTTAAAGTAATTATTAAACACTATTTCTTTAGGGTAACAATTTTGAAAACGATAGTAATCTTGATAATATTTTTAAGCTTTATCTATTATCACTTAACAATGGACACTCGGTACCTAACGAGAATGACATTACTTTGTCGGACTGATATACGAACAAACAAACTGGAGAGTTCATCATCACAAAGGAATATTTACAATCAAATGAGTTCACTATTTTCACTATATATAGTTCGCTATATTCAGCTATTATAAGTGATGATGGACATGATGTTTCCACTATGATCTATAAACAAAACGTTAGACTGAAGCCAAAAACGTTTCTTTCTACTTTTATTTAAAGACAATCGCTGTATAACTTAGATTGTAGGTCAGTTGATTTTTATTGCACGATAATGCATTAACGATAACATATGAAAGGAAACCAGTTCGATATCCCATATTATTTTAAAAGTGGATCATATTTATCAATTATCACATAATTGGTACTGACATTTAGTGAATTTTTGCCAATAAATGTGTTTTATTGTTTTTAGGTTTCCTTTCATTGGACTTTATTGGAAAGACTGTGTGTGAAGTTATATCCGTGTAGTTAGAGAATAAATTACAAACATACTGAGTGATGAATAAAGAATTTATGAATGCATTACTACTTGTGTATTTTTTGTACTCGTAACTATAATAGCTTATAAATCCTTAAAATAAGCATAACCAAACATATTCTGTGATTTATATATAGTATATGTAAAATGTATAACTGTTAGGTGTATCTTATAGATATTATATATACCATGCAATATAAAGTAATCCCATTTGAACGCATTTGACATAATTGATTGTTTTATATTCTAAGTTAAAACGGGTACTTTTACAATAAATAATGAGATCATTACACAGTCGAAACTTTATTCAAATTATAGTACCTCAGAGCAAATTTTATAAAAACTGTGCACTTAAGATTTATTTACCATCGAAGGAATTATAATCTGAAATTTTGCGTTTATTTTAACAGCGGACACTTCTCTGAAATTTAGATTTCTAAAAACTCTAATAGAACCATTTTATGATGCTACCATATTTCGAAAGGATTAATTTTGTGAGGTATGTGATATGATTTGCAATATAAGACAGGATGTATTTAGCTTGACATTTATTCATTTATTATTTTACAAAATTGAACTGCTAATAATTGCAAAAAATGTTACTATTAATAAAACTTACTACATAAGTCGTGGAAATTTTTCGCTGCAAAATTTCATCGGCGATGACGCTAATATTCAACTTAGTGGATAACGTTAAAAGTCAAAATTTTCCATCTGATATAGTAAATGTGTACAAGTAACTGTTAAAAGACTATTTACTGTATTCACATAAAATCATTGTATGATGTGACATTTGGTAGGCCTACAATTCCTTGAGAACTGCGATGTTCTAACACTATGCATCAATCCGGAACATCCTACCCATATGATTACCAATTTTTTTTACATAAAATTGAAAGTGTAGATATGAAAGATATATGAAGAATGTCGCAATACCACAAGTCACAATATCTAAAAATGTAATTAATTGTTCTAGTCATGGAAATTGGCTTTAAAATCGTTAAACTTGTTATTACTAGTTTATTTTTTGCTTAGTTTCTTTGTATGACTCTTAAATCGGAATCGATATGAAAAAAATTTTATATATTCTCTCATATGAATACTAGTAAATTCTTTAACAAATAGCGCAAAATTTTGTGTTAAGTCGGATAATTCTCAAACTTTTGATATTTTATTAAAAGGAACTACTGTTATTTATGACTGAGCTGTTTACAACCACTTGCCTAACCACGTAACAACAAACCATCAAAAATTACTTTCGGAAGCACAAAATGGAAAACCCTATATGAAAACAAGTAAAGGTGAAACTTTGGCTCTGCAGAAGCGTGGACACCCTTTACCTAGAATTTTAAATTTACATTTAAGTTGCAATTATTTGATAATTTATTTTATATATATATATTACATATATACATATTCTTTTTTTATAAGAAAAATGTGATTCTAAATCACAGGATCAGATTCATATCAGATCACAGGAACAAGCAATAAATATATTTTGATATATTTTATTACACAAATCACATTTTCAAATTATGTTCAAGTTTTATTTTTAGAATACGTACCAAAAAGAGATATTCCTAACAAAACTCTTTATCTAAATCGGCAGTTTATATTACATCTATTTATAAGACTAAACCGTAAAGAATACAATTTTGACTCTTAAATGAATGTAAGCACATCCTGTATGATATTTTATTTGAATATTCTTCTAAAAAATGCTTATAACTCATATCTGATTGTTCAGTTTACATAGCAGCTATAATAAATAGTGGTTGACAAATCAAACAAATTAGTTTGATAATTAGTTTTATAAAGTTGCAAGTTATTAGAAAATAAAAAAGAATTTGTGACAAGAACCTGTGCTCATTGGGGAAATTTATATGACTCCTATATTTAAATCGAAATCGATACAATTTAAATTTTAAATATTCTCTCATATGAATACTATTAAATTCTGTAATAAATTTTATTTATATATTTTCACGAAAAACGATGGTTCAGTTTATTTGCTAACTATAGCACAGAAAGGTCTGATTTTAGCTAATCAGATAAATTATTGGATTCCGTCCCGAAAAATATGTCTACACAGTTTTATTCCAATAACTCAAAAACTGAGAAAGTCATTTGAGATGAAATAGACGAACGGACAGGGTGAAATGAACTAAGTTGGTCAAGCTAATCTAGAACAAATTTTATATACTTTATGGAGTCTACAACATTCTATAAAGTAATGTAACTTTCAATGCTAACAACAATCTTGACAACTTAATTTTTTCTTCGTACACTTTTTTGTGTATAGGGTACAAAAATATATTAAAATAGAGGTGTGCTTATTTTATGAGATAGTTATTATTCTTATTGGAGTATATGAAAGCCTGACTATATATAAATATAATTAGATTCCTTCCTTAGAAGTCCTTACAGATTTATTAAAAACAACTCAGTTAATTAAATTAACGTATTAAATTCAAATAATTGTTAAGTTTAATTATACAAAATAAAATAGAAATAAAATTAAAAATAACAAAAAAATGGAATAAGCTGAAATAAAAAAAAATAAAATTAAATACAATGAAAAAAAATATAATAAAATAAAATAAAATAAAATAAAATAAAATAAAATAAAATAAAATAAAATAAAATAAAATAAAATAAATAAAATAAAATAAAATAAAATAAATAAATAAAAATAAATAAATAAAATAAAATAAAATAAAATAAATAAAATAATAAATAAAATAAAATAAAATAATTTAAAATAAAATAAAATAAAATAAAATAAAATAAAATAAAATAAAATAAAATAAAAAAAATGGAATAAAATTAAATAAAATAAAATACAATACAATACAATATACTAATACAAAATATTATACAATACAGCAAAATAAAATAAAATATAAAATAAAGTACCATAAAATTAAATAAAATAAAATAAAATACAGTACAATACTTTAAAATAAAATAATAACAATAAAATAGAATAAAATTAAATAAAATAAATTACTATAAAATTAAATACAATACAATGAAACTAAATAAAATTAAATTAAATACAATGAAATAAAATAAATCAATTATATATAATACAATAAAACAAAATAAAATAAAATAAAATAAAATAAAATAAAATAAAATAAATTAAAATAAAATACAATACAATACAATACAAAAAAATGAAATAAAATAAATTTAAATACAATACAATACAATTCAATACTATAAAATATTATAAAATAAAATTAAATTAAATTAAATGCAATACAATTAAATAAAATTAAATATAGTACAATAAAATTAAATTAAGCAAAATAAAATAAAATTAAATAAAATAAAATAAAATAAAATAAAATAAAATAAAATAAAATAAAAAAATAAAATAAAATTAAATAAATTAAAATTCAATAAAATAATAGTAAATTAAACAAAATGATATAACATATTATTAAAATGTTATAAAATATAACAAAGTTAAATGAAATTAAATGACTTATTTCATATTAATTAAAATAATTATTTATTATTAAAGAATTAATTTTAAAAATATTGTAGTTCTTAATAAAGTTCATTTTACTTATGATGATGATCACTAGAATGATGATGATCATCAGTAGAATGATGATGATTGGTTCTTATTTGGTTAGTATGTACAATGCTAAATGACGTTCTCTATTTCTATCTTTATCTAGTACTTCCGGTAAATGTACCGTAAATACTCGTAGCGCTTATATTTGCAAGGTCAAAATAAATTTTTTGTTTAAAAAGTAAACATGAATTAAATTTAATTTTCCATGAAATGAAAATTGTTCATATTTTAACACGTTTATAAACAAAGTGTGTGCGATTTTTGCTGTTTGCAATTTGTTTATATCGATACCTGTTTGGAAATATTATTAATAATAGCTTATAATGTATAAATCAATTCAATTGTTTAATGAATTTTGCACGTACATTTTGTGGCTTTGTTTTCGGGGCTCGTTGCAAGTTAAAAGCAAATTTTTGCTCTAAAATTTTTTCACGGTTCATTCAAAATTATTATTATTTTTATAATTTTTTTGTGTTTTTTTTTTATTTATTTTTTGTTTGTTTGTTATAGCGATTTTCACTTTTATTTATGAGTTTCGGAAAATTATAATGTTGATATTCTCAATGTATAGACGTGTTGTATATAAGTATATAAAAATGAGTACTGCATCAATGAGTACGTACAATTATATATCAGCACTTGAGAGGAAAATATAGCGAAGTCTTGAAGTACATTTAACAATCAAATTCTTTGTTTATTTAGTAACTGAACCTTTCCTCTGCAATTTCTTTCAAATTTAAATCTGTGCTGATTTCATGTAGATTTTTAAATATAATTTTTTCACTTAAATATTTTTTTTTGTTTTTGTTATCTTTTGTATATAAAAAGTAGGCTTAATTTACGAATTTGTAAGAGCACAGTTGCTTTGCTGAAGTAGAAAGTTGCTTTCAAGTTTCATTTAAGCATTTTTGACATTAATTAAAACGTCTCACACATTTCCGGTTACTTAAATAAAACATGTACTGATTTATTATGCACTGTTTTCATTAAATAAATAATTATTATATATATATCTATATATATTCTTTACGCATACTCGTATGTACTTCCAGAACAATTGTGACAGCAGTAAATCTTACTCGTACCTTCGATTTTGTATATATCTTTTTCTATTCAAATGCGTTATATAAAAATTCTCTTCATATCGACGCACACCTTGTAGTTAATTTTGTAATAATTTTCTGTATTTACTATGACTATATTCACTTGATTGGTACACTTTTCTAAGATTTTATTTTACATACACTTTAGCAGATTTTTCTAAGATATTTTCACATTTAATTCTGTATACATTTCTTTAGAAAATAATTTCACTTGCGAGCTGATCGCATTCTGTACCTCAATTTTCGTATAAGAATTTCTATGTCGTATTGCGCAAATGTCGTATGCTCGCGTTTATCTTCAGCATTTTCCCAATACTCATTTTCTGAATTACTGAAAATTTTCACCGAATTTTGTTTTTTTTTTTTAATTATATAGAACAGTTAATTTTTTTTTTTGGTTTTGTGCAAATATTATTCTCAACGTAATATTGTAAAAAATGAAAGCATTTTTCCGCGTCAACGTTCGGTTGCGTTCCTAATTTGAGCAGCGCATATTTCAAACTGTTTTAATTTAGATTGTTTATACTCCCGTGCGGGAATTCTGATTCTGATGCTGATGCTGTTTTCCATTGCGGATAAATCATAGGCACATTGAACGCATCTTTTCTGCCTCCGATACAATAACAGAGGCCTCTACAGTACCAGCAACAGTTCACTCAAAACAGAACTGTACACTGTACACTGTGCACAGTTCTGTCTGTACAGCGCGAAATTTCACTGTAGAGCAGGGACCGTTCATTGCCGTCATGGCGTGCCGCCCGTCCGATCATTCTCACTCAATTTAAAACATTCGTTTGTTATTGTTTCGTGTATTTCAATTCAGCACAGCAATTTGAAATACAAAAATTTAAAAGAATCATTCAAACTTATTTATAAACACATGTCTACACACTCGTATAGCGGCCGCCGCATTATAGATTGTTTTTGTCATTCTGAGCTACTTCCCGCATCTTTTGGTTCATTTAATTGTTTTGTGCACATATGTTTTTGTGGTTGTTGGTGCGAGTACAGTAAGTACATTGACGTTTCCAGTAGCGTCCTCAGCCCATATAATGCCATCATATCCATTGACATCAAATAGCACAAGGGCAAATATTGTTTTATGTCGTTTACCGTGTTGCACGAGTAGATTGATTATGTTTACTTCTCGTACGAATGTATATTGTAAATACAGCCAAACTGTTTGGTTTAATTAATTACGTGCAGTCGTTATTGTATTGAGTTTTTTTTTTCCATTCACTTAATGAATGTAACACTTATTGCATAGAATTTCTCTTCAAATGCAGTTTCTACCTAACATTGTACTGAAATGATAGGCGTAACGTAAACGCACTCAACTCACTCCTAATTTTTTTCCTTCGCCACATATGTTGCACAGCCGTCTGCCACTACTATTATTCTAATAACATTCTCCTTTCTTCCTTTTATTCTTTTTATTTTGATTTAAGTGTATTGCAAATGAGGCATTCATAGAGGACATATATACGATATGAATATATATGAATATCATGAACAATAGAGCAAACGTATTATTAATATATTAATACAATATGGTATGTAACATAAATCATTCAGATATACACATGTTATGGTAATATATTTTAAAATATTGAATCACCATTCTTAATTTTGCAATTGAAAATAAATATAATACTTATTTCTTTTATTCTTATTATATTTATAATAAATAATTGTTAGTAAACCTGTGAATAAGAATGACAGATGAAAGTGGCGGCGAGGTGGCGAATTTTTGTGTTTTACTCAAAAATATATAAAGAAGTATCCATGATTGCGCCACAACAACCTGAGAAATGTACCCGAAATCCTATTGATGATTTAGAACCTAGAACTATAGCATTTTAGATTCCATCTCAAAAGGGAAGGTGTTTGCAACCCTGTTAATAAGAATGATGGATGGCATGTTATAATGTCAATTGTATTTGGAACTTCAAATAGAAGAAAATAAAATAAAGATATTGACCCTAGAACTATAGCATTTTAGATTCAATCTCAAAAGGGAAGGTGTTATAATATTCTTAATAAGAGTGACGGATGGCATGTTATAATGTCAATTGTATTTGGAACTTTAAATAGAAGAAAATAAAATAAAGATATTGAGAGATACACAGACATAATAATAATAATATTATATAATACCCTGATGGGGGCTTTAGACTAAAGTCGAAATATCAAAGAAATAACAGTTAATGTAAAAAAAGATTGTAGTTTCTTTATCTCAATTTTTATTTTTTGGCAACAATAAAAAATTTGTCCAATTAGTCTGTAATAACACTATCTAAAAATCGTTTGGTAACTAAATAATAAATATTATTATATTTATTAAAACAACAGTGAGTAAGAGAATGGAAATTTGAAAATCCCAAAAGCTATTCATTTTTTAATCAAATAAAATCTTGGATTGATCATACAACTGCTTTGGATATCGCCAGCTCTCTTTAAAAACATCTATTAGTTTGAGTGCCCGTATGTAATTTTTGTACTGAAAGTGTCAGGATTTAAACCCTGTCAAATTTACATTGTGGGACTCGCCTGTCAACAAACATATTGAGCTCGAACTTAATTCGCGTTATTAAAATCAAGAGTTTTTCATTTTAATTACTGTGTCATTAATTAGAAAAAACGCGTAAACCACAGCTATATAATTTAAATTTAACTATAATCATTTTAATTACAATGCTTTTAAATTTACTATTTTTAGTATTATTTGTGTTTTTAAGGGTTTCTGTAAATATGAATAAGAAACTTTTATAGAAACTGGGTTTTATTATTTAATATTTTCATTATATTGTTTTAAAGATCAAATATTTTTTAGTAATAATTTTTTTGTTAACGAATTAATTGGTCAATAGTTAAATATTAAATTTTTTAAAATTTTTTTGTTTTTGCAAGATTTTATTTGAACCGATATTTCGACTATATTTTAAATTTATAGTCATTCAATAGTACCCTGATGATGTCTGTAGAATATAGTTGAAAAATCGGTTCATA